TTTGAAAAAAGTTGTCTTCGACAGTGATATTGACAAAAACGACATAAGGTATACTGATGACTTAAATGCATGTATTACCTACCATAATAACATTATGTAATTGAATATTACTACAGTAAGGCGTTTTTATGTTATTTTGGTGTTTGTGTTTGGCTACATTGACCAAATGAAATGAAGAAATAATATTTTATTTAATTTTCTAGAATTTGACGATCCCTAAATTTAGAAATATTAAAACAGAACTTAAAAAAACATTTTGTTGTTGTTTCGAGTTTCACGCTATATGATCTTCAGACAACTGACCTATTTAATTCAGCATGCGTCCCTACTGAGACTTACTGAGACTAGTTCGGAACGTTTGTTTAAAGATGTGTTGTTGGGGGCATTAATGATGGAAAGCTTTTCAGTTAGATCCCTAAATTTAAAAAAGTTGTCAGACAATATTCGGAACAAACACGACCAGAAGCAATTCCACATTATGCAGTATCCCAAGGCCCAGTTATTACTTATATAGATGTCAAAGTAGTGCAACGCACTGTATGCCGCTTATGAATAAAAAAAATACCAAAAACTGGAGAAAAAAAAACGGATCATCAAGGTTTTTCTGAAGAGATAAAATCCTTGACAAGATAATCGGCAGAAGAATAACTTCGTTTCGCTTTTGTCTTGTAATAAGATTCTGTCACAGATAAAAACGGAACGAAAACAAAGTTTGTATTCAGTGTGACACTGACAAAAGGCTCCCCAATGACTCGCTAACTGTCTAAGCTTATAATCGTATTCCATACGTTTGTCTTGGGTCATGTATATTTGATTATGGCCAACTATCTGTAGCGGAATACAAAACCGTTTACTGTAAACATTCATAATGATCAGATAACTTATTCACTGTTAAATATTTTATGTAAAGGGATTTTATATGATCGGTTGCGTTTATGTTATGGAGCAGTGGACCCGTCTCTAATAGTTCAATCCGTCTTCGTTTGCCAAACAGGTGCAGAAATATAGGACGTAAAACTTCATTTCATTTCCATTAGTACAAAGAGATGTGGAAAAATTGGTGTGCCCGGTGTAGTATTTTTGGAGTTTGCATGAAACGAGTACATGCTCACAATGTGAATTTTCAAAACTTATTCAGGACGCACTCGATTTACTTAATTTTTCCTTATTCTTAACAAAGGTCATCAACCTTCTAAAATAATATGTATAGTTATTAAACAATATTTTCTAGACATCTATTAAAATTAAAAGTATAAATTTCAAACTTGAAAAATATCGTAAGAAGCTGTATAGTAGGCTGTACCATGAACATAATTTATGACTGCCGAGTACTGTTCTGACAAATATGTTGAATTATCACCAATAATCTTAGCGTTAAATTGAAGTTGCTATCAAGTCAAAGATCTTGCAAAACTATGCGAACTATAATGTTTAAGGTCGCTGTCTTGTCCTTTTATGAAAGCTATGTTTAATTTTCTTTTTTGCTCTATTAAACTATATCAAGGTGTCGTGAAATATTTATTTCGGCTGAGATGGGTCAAATGAATTTAGATCATATGGAATTGTTGATTTCTTGCATACATATAGAAATCAAAAATGTTTCTTTCCGAGCAAAATTTTTTCACACAAAATTGATTAGTTTTATCTGGAAAGTATGATGTAAAACAGTATTTCATATCATTTCCTGTGTAAAATAAATCGTTTTGGACACTTAAAAAAGATCGCAGTTAACAAACATAATTATGAGCCATTTAATTTTGCAAACATGTTAAGAAATGCTTATACATCATACTCTAGTCTTACTCAGGGGTAAAATTTGGGTTGGGTACCCTGTCTTGTAGCCTACGCCTTGAGTAACAGAATACTATCCAAATATGGTTCAAGTCACCTTTGCCAAAAGTCAGCAGTAATGACATACAATGGCAGTCTGTTTGTCATATTTCTATTATGACAATTTAATACGATATAAACTGTGTGTTACCGGCAGGGATTCTCTGAGGCACAATTCTGGCAAGTTGGTAAATCAACGACTTAGGGCCCCTAGGGTAGTTATTATACTTATATAAGATATAGACAAAATATAAATACATCCTTTGTTATCCTTAATCAATTAACAATACGATATTGTATGCTTATAATCGTTCGTTTATGATATATCCTTTAATTAACTTCACAACTTGAAGGCTATTTAAGGATAATCCTATTTTCTTTTAAAACAATGAAAAGGTGGCGTAATCCGTTTGTGCCACTTACGACCTAACGGTATCCTCGTCGCTCTAATGTTAAAGATATAAACAATATGGCCACCGTGGCCTCTCATCGTCTCAATATTTATTTTTCACGACCAAGATTTAACATAATTGTCACTAAAATAAATATTTTTCAAAGTTTATAAACCCTTAATTTGGCAGTCATTTAACTGTTGAAATATTTATATCCATTCTTTCTTAAATAAATATTTTTCATTTGGACTGAGACATTCCATAAATCCCTTAATATGGACCACCCTATAGCTCCCTTATACGATTGAAATACAAAACCATTGTCTACGAAATAATGTTTATATTTATTTTTAAAGAATTCGACTGAAATGAATGACATTATTTTATCTCTTAATATAACATAGATTTAAAAATATTTTGAATTGAATAAATCTGTCATCGGCATATTTCCTGAGCCAATTCCTATTCCAATATATATTTTATTTCATTTTAAAATGTTATAGATATTCATTTACTTCTTCAATACATGAACGAACATTCATATTTTTTAAGGAAAACAATGTCTATAAGGTTTACATACAACGTTCAATTCTTTTTCATTATTTCAACAAGTTCTGCTTACCGAATTTTAAAAAAGCTTATTTCATGCAAAATTTGGTAGCATCCATGCCAAATAGTTGAAATATGCACTTCTAAATTCTTCTTATGAATATACGAGTCGCTCAAAACATTTACGATTCGATTTGTCCTACTTTGAAATTTGAATAAGATATCATTGAATTTTACATTTGTTATATCAATATATAAGAATGTATTTGTTATTAATCTTAAACATATAAAATATTACATTTATAAATATAAAGAAATATATTGAGGTTTAAAAATGCAGTAGGCCTATTTCTCTCAATAAGTGTATCAAGGTTTTACGAATACAAATTTATTTTATCAAGAATTATGAAGTTTATCAAATGTTATAACATCGTTTATATAATTCATAACATATATAACGTTATAATATAATATATTTCATTTTTTATATTGCTCTATAGTGACGTGCGTAGTAAATATTTAAAATAAAACATCTTTTAGTGAACGTCTCCAGCCTTTTTTCAGTGACGTTTTCCCTTGATCGCGAAGGCGGATTTCAATTTTGTTTTCGTCTATTCTTGATTTAATACGATACGAAAATATGATTACAAATACAAGAAACATGAAATGAGGCAAAAATAATCCGATCGGTCCATCTTTGATCGCGTTAAATTCGTCTTTAAAAGTCGCCTAAAGTAGAAACAAAACTGATCCTAAATAACCGTTTGATTCTTTTCTTCAACAGAAAGAATACGATTTTCGCTTTGGCAAAACGGAATAATTATCCAGTTCAAGTGTCCTAGCCATTGGGCTTTTCTGGCAATACTTGATTTGTAGAGAAAACAAGAAACCGCTTTGTGTATCAAAAACTAGTCGGCTAAAATTGCTGAAGGCAACGATTGCGTGGATACTATGTCGTACGATAAACTCAAATTTACGCGGTGTTCATTGATACTGACATTTGATTGGCTGAGAGGGAAAGAAAATGGCCTCCATTGACAGGTGGGCGGAGTTAAGGGGCGTGGCTAATGGACGAGTCTATTGTTGTATGAGAGAGAGTGTGAAAATTGTAGTGTATATGTGTCGCTTTCACGTTGACTAACATAAGATGTACGAGTAAATGGATGATAAACGGCATTCTTATAGACTGACAGATTACAGTCAAATCTAACCCGTCATCTCGAAAGGTAAAATTGTGCCACGCTTTTTACCTTTTATCATATTTTTTTTCATCCGACTAGATGTTATATCACCGTTGACGGAAATGCGACATGCAATAATAAGCTCTGGCAATCAGTCATTTTTACGGAGAATTGAAATAAATTTCATTGACGGCGATTATAACTGACTTTTTCTACTTATTTGTGATTTATCAATAATCAATTACAATGGATATAAACCGGCAAATAAAAGGATTTTAAATTTTCATTCAGTTTTTACTGACTAAACGGATATAGCTGGATATATTTTAAATTTGCGAAATATTCGAATTTGATTTAAATGATCGGAGAGAATAGTGATTGACAACGTATTCGGACACTTGTGTTGAAATTATCCAAGTTTGAAATATATGTGATAACCAGTATCATTTATCATTATAAAAAGGATCAATTGATATGTGCTATGTTTAATATATTGGGACTAGACTGAAATAGCTTGATATATATGAGAAAAGGTTTGTAAGGGTTGTAAATAAAACTGACTGTATTCCCCCATCACCAGCTAACAGTCAGCTCGCCCAAAGGCAGGCGTTTTTGACAGGTCGTTCATCATTGCTTTCTATAGTAACAGGGTAATGATTGACAGGTCAGCTAACACTAGCTACTCGCTACTACACTATAACCCGTTATACTAGGCAAAATGTTGAAGGTACTGTTCGATGGAAAAGCTTATAGTGTTTGACAGTTTTGTTCCTTTTTTGACAGGCACCACTCTATGTGTGTACGGAGGAATACGGATTGTTGATATTCGGAAGAAAAAACCTTACGCAATAAGCAAGTGATATACTAAACAGCAAACCACCGATTAACATCATCGGTTGGCATGGCTCAGAGGGTACGTATCAGTCTTCTTGTTTCAAATTCAATTTATGACCGCTAAGCGTAGCTATTAATATTATTTATGGGAAATTGATACGGCAGCTAACCATGGATTTATTTTAATGCTATCTCTTTTGTTTTTCAGTTTGATAACGAAATGCCTCATTACGGGGGTATGGAAAGCGCAGGAATGTACGGTGATCCCCATCGTTCTATGGGTACTCACCCCCTCTCTCATTCACATAGTGGATCTATTCATCAATACCCTTCCTCATATACCTCAAGTAGTAGCATGCCAGGAGTAATGAGCACTACTCAGGATTCACAATTAAAAAGGGATAAAGATTCTATATACTCGTAAGTTTTATGATTTATTATTCCATATATAAGGTCAATACAATTTTCTTTATATACACAATTATATTTGTCTGTATATCATGTAATAATTTCAATTATTCACATTTTTATATGATAAAATATATAAATAGACAATTAGAAATAAGGTGATAAAAGTCCAAAGTTTAAAACAATGTATGTGATACAGTGGATAATATATTTTGATTGTATATGTATCACGTGTATATAATAACGGGTTTTAATAACGTTCAGTGTTATTCTTATTAATAGTTCATCTACATTGACAATGGAAAGTGACGTTAGTACAGTTAAAATGTCTATATCTATAAGAATGTTAAAGTGACAACTAATGTCGCTATGCCATCATTGCTTGTGTCATATTTTAACTTGATATTCCTGTTAGCTTGTTAATGGCAATAGTCGATACACTCACTCTACAAACTTGTCGGTCAACGCGTTTACCATCAAAATGGCCGCCATGTTTTCATATAGATTTCGGCAGTTCTTGATGGTTTTTCCATATTTTTCTCTTGCAGACATCCTTTATTTCCCTTACTCGCACTTATTTTTGAAAAATGCGAGTTAGCCACATGTACTCCTCGAGAACCGGGGGTTGCAGGGGGTGATGTGTGCTCGTCGGAGTCCTTTAATGAAGATATTGCAGTATTCAGTAAACAAGTGCTAGTACGTATTTTTGTATATTAATTACCCATCCAAATTAGTTACCACAAAATATTTTTCTTGACGATAATATTGTTTATATTTTCCTCTGCCTGTGTGAACATTAAATAGAATTTTCCAATGGTTTCTAAAAGTGTGAAATGATAATAATATAGCCGTGTTTTTCCACAATTACCAAGAGACGTATATTTATTAAATTACCTTCAGATGATTTTATAAATTAATGCCAAATAAAAGGGTGATTAAGAGAATATTTTTACAAATATCATTTAACAAATATCATGTGATATAATTATGATATTTGAAAATATATTGGACATATTTATTTAAGTATATGACATTCCGGATAGACTGATATATTTTCAAATCGATATAGAAATGATTTAAACTTGCAATAAATTATCTTTTATGTATTTTATTACAATGTGTATATAGGGCAATATATATTATACATTTTTATATTCGAATTCATTTATAGTCTATAATTGATATACAACTTTTAAAAATATATTTTTTTTATTAAAAACGTTTGCAAAAAATTATATCAAATGGAATATGCATTTTGATGCATTTTTCTAGAATCGCAACAAATTAAAAAACCAAATTTATTGTGCAGTTAGTTAGTTTTGTAGACAGTATATAAAGTAGTTATATCGATTTACGCTGATGATAATATCTTTAAGCCGCAAGCTATCGTATGACCAATTTTATCGTGATTTTAAAATCTTGTAATTTTAGAATTTTTAGACTAGTCTATGGTAAAAATAGATTTAAAAATTGCATTAACAAATTTATTTTCAAAGTTAGAATGGTAGGCCTAATGAATGAATATTTTCAAAGAATTTAGGTCGAGTTTTTGACTATGTAATGATATTATATATCTAAGTTATGAAAGGGTTTTGGACAATATTAATATTGTTAGACTAGCTTCAATGGAATATGTGATTCATTAATTAAGTAAATGACCGAGAAATGCTTATTAAATTACCACTGTGCTACACCAACGTATTTTACACATTTGTGTATTTGCGAGTCACAGCAAAGGTTTTATTAAATAAACTTAATCTAACTTGGGATTTATGAATATGGTCTAGAGCATTCAGGCCTATTTCTCCCGTTTCATTTCTACAGAAACAATGGCATAATGAAGAACTTTATTAATGTTTCCATTGCCTCTCTTTTCATTTCTTCTTGCCTCCAAGTTTTATTGTTTTCGAGTAAAAATAATATCATTTAGTTATATTAATCTACACAATGAATAAAACGCAATTTTGTTAAGAAAAAATCTTATCTCACACGAAACCAAGAAAATTAACTCTCTAAACGCAACGTCATTGAAATTGGTAATGCGGGTACATGTACGAATGCGATGGCTAAACGATTTAATGTTACAGATTTGTAAAATTAAGAGCTCTTCTTATTCACCCGAATAAGCACGATATAAAAGTTAACTCGGTCAAGTTTGTTATAAACTTGTTATGAAGCGTGCGAAACTCAGGCGATATTGTTATTTCATGCTTTTAGAAAGATATTGTTAACTTTCCCATAAATTTTTACGTCTATTTCATTTCATTCACTAACTCCCTTTTCTGTCTGATAAATTATTTTCAGGGTCGATCGGATAGTAAATGCTTTTCTACGAATCATGAATTGGATAGTTTGGTAAGTTTGCATTCCAAATAATTAAACCGGTGGATCAATAATGTAATATTAACTTTACATTTAAATGTGTAAAATATACTGTACATGCAAATGTGTAAAATATTACATTTGTAGCCGTAAATTTAACGGTAACTTTTTACAGTGTAATTTGTTATATTATAATAATAGGTAAAAATAATGATGTTTATAAATTGGAATTGTTTATGTCATTATTAAATAAATCGTTAGTAAAATGTTCTCTTTAATTTTCTACGGGGCTGTAGAAATAATAACGAGAACAGCTTATTTTCCCCGGTGAACCATTGCGGCCAAAAGTCGATCAAAATTTGTGACTCGTAACTAGTTGATGGCTTCGTCGGGTAAACGCGCTTCGTTCCAAACGGTCGTTAGAGGAATTTTCTTACAAACGAAACAATCGGTGCAAGTGATTTTGATGTGAGATTTTAGAAATAAGACTAACGGCTTAAAGGCATGGTAATGAACCATCAGACCACTGGGGAAATTCAGAAAATGGCGGCTTATATTTCTAGCAATACTCTAAACAAAAATACTCTTTCTCTAATTTTTCTCTGGTTGCTACTGTTTCTTTTCGTGCATATAAATGGTGAATTCTACCCCAGATGGTTTAACGACTTCTTCGCATGGTCTGGCAGATTTGGAACAAAGCTGAAATTTTAAGAAAAAATCTGGAGAAATATTGAACGCCATCTAAATATCATTAGCGCCATTTGCCTATAATATCCCCACCCGCATTTTACAATTTTCACAGGTCAAATTCTGAAAAGAATATCTTTCAGCGCTCATTTGAACAAAATTAAATTTAGAACTTTTATTATATTCAAAATGTTTCATTTTTTTTATGCCAACCAAATGTAAAATATTCACCATAAATTTTGCTGAATTTAATTTTAGAAATGTGTAATTTTTTCAGATGATTCAAGCCATACAAGTTTTACGTTTTCATCTTTTGGAATTAGAAAAGGTAAGAATATTTTAGATATATTATGTCTTAAAAATAAAGTTAAAAATTCAAAATCTTTCCATGGCGATGACATTTTGCCCCAAGGTTTCGTGGTGATTTTGGAACGCCAGTGTTAAGTAAATAAACATCACAGATAAGAAAAATTTCTCTAAAGTAATTTTATTAGATAAAGCCCCATAACGACCCTTCGTCCCAAATTTGAAAAATATCTAAATAACACACCTGGATTTACAAGACATTTAAGTTGCGCCCATCAGATAAAAATATTATGAGTCCATTTTCTTATCATAATGTAAATTTTTGTGTCCTGAAAATTTTACTGTGTCAAATTTTATCATCACAATAATGTGTAAATCCAGATTTATATTATTACTGTCAAGATTTTATCTTGAAAATATTTTTTAAACCCCAGTCGTGAAATGAGAATTTAAGTCATCCGAGACCGTTGCTCATTTGCCGACATATTTTAGGCCATAGAAATACAAATTTTTGAGCAATATTTCTAATGTATATGGAAAAGAAACATCGCGTTTTTCAAAATAGATATTTATTTCGGTAAAATATTACAAAAATATTTTGTATAAATGAAAGAATAATATCAACATCCGGTTGCCATTGAGATCTCGTGTCTGTGACTTTGGGCTAGCAGACGACGATTTCGACAAGTATTGATAATCGGCGAACGAATATCACGCGAAGTAGTTCTAAACAAAAGAAATAAATAAAAGCTATAAAAAGATTGTAAATTACTGGGAAATTGTCTCATTTAATTTTCAACTCAATTTATTATCTTCTCATTTTCAGGTGCACGAACTATGTGACAATTTTTGCCATCGCTATATCAGTTGTTTAAAAGGAAAAATGCCTATAGACCTAGTGATAGACGATAGGGAATCGACGGGCTCAGTTTCAGGAACTCCTAAATCCTCCACAACGACAGGGGGTCTGGATAATCCCGCGGATATTTCAGAAAATAGTCAGGAACAGGTAAGACCCACGATTTTTTGTATGTATTCTGCATAACACACAATCTGAAATTCAAATATTCAAATATCCGAAATAACCTCTAATCAATGCTTTAAGTGGTTAATACTCTCCAAACGATGCACTTTAAATGTTATACAGTCAATGCCCTGATAAGCTATTAAAATGTCACCACTTTTTAAAATTCTGGATTGGATATATTCGAAATTAATGATCACTCGAATATTTTTTCAATTTTTAAAAACGCAGCAAACCTTATCACTCGACACCCATGTTTTCCTATCTGCCTTCTTTAGAATTATCATTTAAAGGCTCTTGTGTATGATTTTTAACCTTTGCTGTTCATTAGGATAATAAATTATGTCAACAAAATTGTTCATTATCCAAATAGTGGTTGGTTATCTTGGACAATTTTATATTTTCCCCCATCTTGAATTTCCTGTCTACCCCCATGTTCAGAGGTCAGTCTCAAGTAGAGACGGTCACGGCAACCATTAAGTGATTATTTTTACGACAGTTAATGAATACTACGGACAATTCTTGGATCATAAAAATGACAGGCTTACAGATTGTGTCATTTAGTTTGATTGTTTTTTTTATTGAAAAACACCTTGACTTAGACATCAGCTTTTATTCCTCAACTCTCAATCGTTCATCTATTAAATTTATATGTGCCATTTATGAGAGGCCGCAGGTATTTACGGGATCTTTCGTGAAATGATTATTAATTTACAAGATATGGACTTCGGGTTAAACATTTCGTACTTTTAATCTGTAAAACTTTCATTTTTGTTTTACTTCATGAAGTTACATTCCTATACAAAATTGAAATGTTTAATTTTATTTTTCGATCAAAACAGCATTGATCCAAATTCGTTTCATGAACACTGTTGTAGTTCAGATCGTGAAAAAAGCTCCCTTTGTGGCATAGGTACTGACATAATGACGTGATACAAAAAATGTTGTGAATTTGGGACATTGTTAGACGAATTATTGAGCTGGAATGTTACAAGGCTTCAGAAAATTGTGAGTAACAAAACACCCTACAAATTACCTCTCAAATAACTACTGAATCATGAGACAATTTGGGAGAGAAAAAAGCAGTTTGTCGTTTGGTGGTCGCCATATTTGAAATAGGTCTAAGTTATTGTTTGTCAGTGAAGCTTGACAAAATGTAGACATGTTGCCCGGTATCTTGTATGTTTTTAAATAACTTTCATCTCACTTTTCTCGATTTTTATAATGACAGTTGTGGGCTAGTTATAGAACGAGATTTCCGATAGGTTTTTAAAGGTCATGAAAAACTCTTCCAAGGTCATGTTCGTTTGTTGTCAATTACACTGACTGAAAGACAATCCTCTTTGGAAGAAGGTATTTTCATATTGCTGTGTGTATTTATCTGAGTTCTTCAAACGAAAGACACAAACAGAAATACCCTCATTAACCAAAGAAAATGGTGGAAAGCCATCAATCATTATATAAAAACATACAATTATTAAGTATCAAATCATATGTTTTAACATTCCCAGACCCAACAAATATCTTCTCTTTTCCTTCAAATTAAGTCCAATTAATCAAATCCACCTGCATCTTAAAGCAGGTCTGGTACTGTAAGAATATCTGGTTTTGTCCTTCAATTGAAACTCAGTGTTTGATAATAGAGTCTAATGAATGGTTGATTTATGAGGCAAATTAGTGATATACTGAGCCACTATCCATTATCATAAATACTATTTTTTCCATTCATAACAATGGTTCAGATCCTAGTTCATGAATGCCATTTTTTTCATTCATCATAAAAGATTAATTTGTGGTAAAAGTATAAATATATACTATGTAGTTTAAAATTAAGTATATTTTGTACTTTGGTATTTTACTTACTAATTATAGTCCAATATGGATAATTTTATAGTATTTTTATTGATCTGGCATAAAGGTTAATATTTGTTCATTATTTATAAGAAAATTAGTGATTTTGTGCTAAAATTATAGTAAAATATACCAATATATCATGAATGAACTCTGATATTTTATTTATAACCTTTTTATACCTGTAAAATCCTGCTTATATATTAATTAGAAATTAATTAATTGTTGGAATTATAGATATTATAATTTATATTTATATTTAATATCATATATTTTTAGAAAATATTATGTTCTAAATAAAGTAGGATAATCATTAATATGATATACTAAATGAGAATATTGCTAATTTCTGATATCTATCTGATTTCGAGGCTTGACAAGGTAAGTTTGTCTTGAAGTTTCAATACTTGATTTAATTCGGTTCAGCTTTTTGATTTTGTGGATAAGGTAGTGATTTCTTTATGATTGGATGAATAGGAAATATGCAGATGAATGAATGAAAAGAATAAATAAAAAGTGTAAAGAAGATCAAAAGCTATGATAACAAATTGATAAGGAAATAATGAGAGTAAAATGACCGAGGTTTTGTTCAGGCTTTATTAAGGAGAAGAAGTGGGTTGTTTAAGCTACCCCTAATTGTGTAAGAAGGTTTAAAAAGGACAGTCAGAACCTGTCTTGACAATTTTCTTCTGCTTCAGAGAGTTCATTGATAAGGGGAGGGTCTTGTGGTGCCAGGGTTGAATTAGCCCCTAGGGTTATGTTCAGCTTGGATGAACCTGGATACAAGTTACTTAACTACTGATATAAGATTAGGTTATTCATCTCTGTCCTCAATAGACCCTCCTTCTTCCTAACTTATTATTGAAATAAGGGCCTACTAGGGGTTATCTTTTTATCTCAGCCTATTATCTGATCTGGGCTAAGATAGAACTATGTTATACTGTAGCTATTTTCTTCTAAACCTCCTTTTACTCCCTAATTGTATTGTATGACATTTTTATACCTATTTTTATAAGTAAAAAGATTTTAATCTCAGGATGAAGATGATGATAAGGGGTTAAAGGGGTTGTGATAAGAAAATGGAGTAAAAGGGTTTCAAACAAGGGGATGCATTATCTCATTATTTCTTTGTTTACATTTCATACCATTTAGGTTTCTAAACAAAATACCTATCCTTTGATGTAGGACTCAGAAATTAAATATTTTAAGATGTCTTTAGGCAGAGCAACTGTTGCTATTTGAGTTCAGGCATTGTGGGAAGGCATCACTAAAGCAATGGCAGATGCATAAGATCTTTAATGATAAGCAAAAGTAGAATGTGCTAAATCTATGAGAAAGTAATGTAACTTTTCAAACCAAACTGTCGACCAAGATGTGAACCAGCCAGCTACCATGTTTCTTCAACATTTCAGCCCTGGAAGCATTTCATCAATTTTGATATCTGATAGTCTGTTATGATTAAGGACAATTAATTTGTGTACTTTTTCCATTCAACACAATCGAGGCCTGGGGCCCAGAGTTCCTGTTTCAGTTTTTATGTTTGAAGATTTGAACCGGTCTGTATAATCTGTGTGTTTTCAGTCGTGATTGAATGTATTTAGATTGTGAAGGGTTATTTTAGTGTAGTATTTGAAAGAGTTATATTTAGAGCTATTGTTCTACAGTATCCTGCGATTAGTCTGCTCATTCATGGTGTTTTCCCGTCATGCATTCTCCCATTAACTGGAGGCAGTTCTATCAATTCTCTGTTTGCCGTTTATCGCAGTATAATCAGTTAGAGTGATGATTGAATGTAGAAATAGAACTAGAGTCTCATCCAGAGAAAATCAGATATAGGCAGCTATTTCTTTTCTCGCTTATTTCCTGCTGTATTTTCCCATCAAAAGACTGTCCACGATTACCAGGCTTTATCAGCAAATAATCAAATTATAACGAAGGAAAATGCATGCTGATGGAAGAGCTAACGCAAACTGAACATTGAAGACAGAATTATTAGAATAGGAAAAGAAATAATGTATAAACGAGAATTGAAAACTCGACTCGTTAAGTCGTCTCTATCATGGTTGGCACTCGGTCAATATCTCACAGTGACATCACCATGCAAAAAGTGTTATTCATGCAGTTGAAGCTGATGTTATCATTGAGTTTGCCCCTTGACAATGAAATCTATAAGCCTGTGACTTAATTACAGCACAAATTTGATACGCTTCATAAGTTTCGCTTTTTCCTTGCTTTTGTTTCGTCACTTGGTGCTGCAAATTATTGGTTTTGACAAGGTTAGGTGTAAAAATGTCATCATGGTTTTCAGATTGATTGAATATTACTGGATAAATAGATAGGCTTGTATTTTTCTATTGAAGTATATCAGATTATGTTATCTATTTATATTTCATTTATTCACTTTAGAACCGGTATTGATATTTCCATTATAATTCATTTTAGATAAGATCTAGATAATTGGGTTGTTATAGAATTAAACTCACAAATGCATTGGCTGAGGATTTTAAAATTTTGTGTTTAATTAAGAATTTTAAAAAATTGAATTTTGGATTTTGCTTTCAGAGAAAGACTATACTTGTTTGTAACTGTCCTGTAAGATCAGTGTTACTCAGTAACTATAAATTTGAAATCTCAGAATTTTAAGATTCCTATATTCCATAATTATTGAGCCATAAACACAGCATAAAATTTCATTATCGCTTTTATGGAGTCATTGAGAGTAATTAGTGAGCAATTTTATAGGCTATTAGACTTCACTATATGACTATTGGTTAATTTAAATATGTTAACTGCAATTCTTTATATATATCTAGTAGGTAATTTCTTTGATTGGAGCCACGATTTCAATAAAAATTATTCTTTTGACATTTTCGTCAAATTACTTCTCTTTCTGCTCATTGTATCCTCAAACGGTTTGTTATTTCAGCAAAAGTTACAAAAACACAGTAATTGTTAGCAACACCTTAACTATTAGTTGAGCAAATAGTTGAGTGTGACTTTGTAAATCAAGTTGGACCGTTTAGCGGGTAAAAGTCAACGGCTAAAATAGATTGTCAATATGAGATTTGTTATGAATCCTGACCTTTGAATAGAATGAAGGGATAACTGAATTAGATTAGGGGCTACAGTATTAT